AAAGACTGCACTGTAAAAAACATTTACCTTATCATAAATAATCACATATGAAAGTTCATGCTATTGCAATACAATAATGATAGATTTTTTTTCCGTTTGTTCAATCTTTTGACCCATTATATTATTCAATTCGATCACTACAAATGCTAACAATATATGTATGTTTCAATTTACGAATATTTATAAAAAGTCAAGCAAAAAGTATTATGAAAATATTTTTTTCTTTTAGGAATCGAAATATTTTTTCTTCATTATTTTTATAAAATACAACATACTTTTTGTTTAACATTGTTTCTTAGATTCCATAGTATATTAAATAAGAAATAATTTTTGAAAAATATATTTTTTTAAACCTTAGAACTTAATCAACAATGGACTTAAACATTATTTGAATTGAAATAATTATTTTAAAGTACTTTGAGCATACTTTGCAATGGTATTTATCTCGTTAGGATAACATAATTGTTCGCAGAGACGCAAAATTCCAAAGAAGCAATGAAAAATAGTGGACATTTACGAAACTTAAATACAATGTAGTAACAACTCAGAGTATTGTACGAAAAAATATAAGAGACGCTTTTTAAAATATGTGAACAGTGATTTAAAATGAGCTGTGGATGAGCCGTCTACTATGTATCATCTTTAAGATATAAAATTAAAAAATTTATATTTATTTTTGTTAGTGATGTTAAATATATGACCAGTAGTATACATTTTCACACTTACACGTATTTTTCTTAGTTTATTTATTACTCAGATTTTTTGTTTTTCAACATATATACATTTCATAATACCACACTAGTATTGAACAATATCTACACATTATTTATTGTCAGATGTCTGATCATTTGCACATCTTGATCATATAGTCGCGACTACAATTATTTTATGAACATACTTTTGATAATTAAAAATCTTGGATTTTTTAATAAAAAACCTTCAAATATATAAAAATATTATTACTATCTTTTCAATCACTATTTATTTATTTATTCGCCATTTGACTCTTGAGGAAAGACAACATGTTTATATTACGTTCTACTCGAATAACCAAAGTATTAACCAATCAAGTGATGTGATGTTTAATTTAAATTTATTCTTGAATATCATAACAAAAATCAGTAAAATACAGCGAACTATGAAGTAAGGAGATGAAGAGAACAATGGAGGAAAGAAGAAGAATGAGAGATTTGATTGATTTGATTAATCTTTATTAAACCATGAGGTAGGACCCCGTGTGGTTGGAAGAAATACAAAGTTGACAAAATATAATAGTAATAGTAACAATAGTAATATTGTAAGCGTACAAATGGCATGTTTTTTGTTTAGCAAAGCGGTTGTTGCGCGACAGTAGGCAAATCTTGTTGATACATAGAAGTACAAGGCGGCGCAAATGTACGTGTATAGACTTAAGCTAATTGTATAATCTAGGAATTACAGCTAAGGGAACCTCAGAGAGGTGCGCGCGAGCTTAATCTAAGAAACTTAAATTTAACGCAGTGGGGAGGGTGTATTTACAGTTTTAATTGGAGGGAGAGATTTGGTCCATCAGTCAGGAATCCATAATGCAAATATCTGCCGCCCACCAGTAGATATGAGGGGTTAGGGGCGAACGCAGAGACATTATACGGCCGTGAGATATGGGGTAGGTAAGCAAGGGCGGCTGTATTTGTCATTTGCTCCTGGGCAACCCGGATAGAGAATCTGTCGATTTCAAGGAGTAAAAGGAGCTCAAATAACCAGTACTTGAATTCAGTGAGTCGTTCCGAGGAAAAAGAGGCAATGCAAGCTGGTTTAGGAGATCCATACCTCTGATTGCAAATGATCTCTTCCAGGACTCAGTGCGTGGAGCGCGAAAATGGAAGGCTGCGGGGACATTGCGGATAGAGCGGCGAGCGATAGTGAGTTGATTTAGTAGTGATAAGTGGCCGGTCAGATACGACAGACCATTGTTGCAAACGATCTTATAAAATAATTTTGCGAGGGCGAGTTGACGTGTCGATGATATTGTGTAGCAGGGCATTTTAATCGCCTCTGCGGCTCGAAAAAGGCAATAAAAATTGCGATTTATTGCCCAGGCATGAGAGCCACAGTCGGCGAATACCCTGCAATGTGAGTTTGCACTCCGAGAAGGAAAACAAGATGAGTAAGGCAGAGAATCAGCAGAGCGAAAAAAGTAGGTGTTATATGTACCAGAGAGAGAGAGAGAGAGAGAGAGAGAGAGAGAGTGAGAGAGAGAGAGAGAGAGAGCGAGAGAGAGAGAGAGAGAGAGCGAGAGAGAGAGAGAGAGAGAGAGCGAGAGAGAGAGAGAGAAAGAGAGAGAGAGAGAGCAGAGCGAGAGAGAGAGAGAGAGAGCGAGAGAGAGAGAGAGAGAGAGAGAGAGAGAGAGAGAGAATAAGCTTTATTAAGCCGTGGGGTATAACCCCGTAGGCTATGAGCAGAATACAATGCAGAGAGACAGAGAGAGAGAGAGAGAGAGAGAGTACGGGATAGTTGCTCGTCGGACTTGTCAGCTGAAACGAGAGAAAAAGAGAGAACGAGTAGGTTGGTGCAGAATGTGCACTCAACCATTGGCGAAGAAATTATGCAAGTTTGAGCCGGTCAGCAACAAGAGTGCACGGAGGCCGCGAGAGCTGTAATAAGCACTTTTACCAAATGTTTATGTGTTTGTCAGACGTCTTCATCGGAGACTCGATGCTCTAATCATGAAAGCTGAGAAACTAGGTCACGCCTGACTACGAGACAGAGAGAGAGAGAGAGAGTTTTATCTGAGACAAATAGGAAGTCGTTCCGACACTACATTCCAGAACATCACCTTCATACGCAACTCATGGGGCCTGCCAGCTATATCGCCATCAATCCAAGTAAGAGAAGAACGTTGTATAAAACCATAATCTCAGTACGCCTGAACACCAGAGATCATTGCCGCTTACTATTTGCAATGGACCATTATCCAGCGGCATCGGCAGCTGTGAGCTCTCTCTCTCTCTCTCTCTCTCTCTCTCTCTCTCTCTCTGTATATATATACGAGGTGTGATCAAAAAGTAAGGTGAATTTTGAAATTTAGCGGGCTACGTCCGTTCGATCTTCGACTTTTTTATTTCGTTATGTCGGTACACTCGTCTAGAACATACGTTCCAAATTTCAGCTTTGTAGTATGTTTGGTTTGTTTGTGAGAGGCATCAAGGTTAGAAGTGTTTTGCGTGCTCCACGATTTGCTGCTGTCTAAAAACATGGATCAAAGAGTTTGCATTAAATTTTGTGTGAAAAATGGAATCAAATGTTCCAAAACACTTGAAATGCTGAAAGTGGCATACGGAGAGTCTACTTGAAGCCAAAAAAATGTTTACAAGTGGTATAAACTCTTCCAAGAAGGCCGAGAAGACACCGACGACGAACCTCGTTCTGGACGCCCCAGCACATCAACAACTGATGAGAATGTTGAAGAAGTGAAGAAAATAGTGTTGGGAAATCGTCGAATTACCATTAGAGAAATTGCTGATGATATTGGCACCTTATTTGGTTCGTGCCAATCAATTTTGACGAGTGTTTTAGACATGAGACGTGTGTCAGCGAAGTTTGTTCCGAAATTGCTCAATTTCGACCAAAAGAAACGTCGCATGAGCATCGCCCAAGAGCTACTGAATGACGTCAACGATGATCCAGATTTACTCAACAGGGTTATAACAGGTGACGAAACATGGGTATACGGTTATGACGTCGAGACTAAGACTCAATCGTCCCAGTGGAGGCATTCTGGATCACAAAGACTAAAAAAAGCACGCCAAGTTCGATCAAATGTAAAGGTTTTGCTTACAGTTTTCTTTGACTGCAAGGGCGTGGTGCATCATGAGTTCTTGCCACAGGGTAGAACAGTAAATAAGGAATATTACCTGCAAGTTATGCGCAATTTGCGCGAAGCAATCCGCCAGAAACGTCCGAATTTGTGGAAAAATAAAAATTGGCTTTTGCACCATGATAACGCCCCTGCTCACACATCGTTGCTTGTGCGCGAATTTTTGGCTAAAACCAACACAGTAACGATGCCACAGGCACCGTATTCCCCAGATCTGGCCCCCTGTGACTTCTTCTTGTTCCCAAAACTGAAGAGGCCCATGAAAGAACGGCGTTTTGCCACGATTGAGGAGATAAAGACGGCATCGAAGGATGAACTAAACAAGATCACAAAAAATGATTTTTTGAAATGCTTTGAGGATTGGAAAAAGCGTTGGCACAAGTGCATTATATTCGAGGGGGATTACTTTGAAAGAGATAAAATAAAAATTGATGAATAAATAAATATTTTTTGAGAAAAATAAAAATTCACCTTACTTTTTGATCACACCTCGTATATCTTCCAACCTTACAAGATCCGTGACTAGTAGTTACGCGGTGGTGTAATGATCGATGAATATGAGTGCTGTCGAACCGCTTTGAAACACAAGCAGTCAGCCAGCAGCATAGAGAACGAGACAACCGTTTGGCAATTCAGTACACCGCTGGCTTTCATTTCATGTTAAATTTTGTGACGAAACAATGAAATAATTCGCCAATCAGCGTAGGTGAAATCAAGATTATCAGTAAATTTAAAAGCACTTTAAATTGTCTATACTATGTTATATTGTATATCTTACATGCCCTGCATATATGACATGATGCACTTATTAAATTTACGATGACCAAAACATTGACACTTCTTTACTTTTAAAAGAAAAAATCATAGGCTATTCTGACTATTTTTTAAAAAAAAGTTTAATAATATCTTCATTCAGACAATTTTTATGCTCAAATAAAGAAACTTCTTGTTTAATGAAAAAAACTTCAGTTGAATCTCTTAAAAAGAAAATTTTAAATATTAAAAACCAGATTTTGCAAATAGTCCATTCTGGTTTTTGCAAATGCAGAACTAATTGAACAAATCAATATTTGTAACACAGTTTTCTTATTTTTGTTTTAGTTATTATAAAATCAAAACGTTATAGAATTAATTCATTATTCACCTTGCTGCCACGTTCATTGAATATAATTTCAACATCAAGGATGGGTCCATATTGCTGAAACAGAAAAATACACGAATAATTAATATAACTATATGAAGAATTTGCATTTTATGCATAAAATATAAAACGTTATTACTAATAAATATATATTGCATAATATCTAATACAAAAAGTATTAATTAATAGAAAATGATGAGTAATCAAAATGTACGGAATATACAAGAGAGTCTTGAGAAAGTTTATGAAAAAGCGTTAAATTACGAAAGAGCGGCTTATGTATGGAGCTCAGATCAAGAAAATAACTTTAAATAAAATTAGAAACGTGTTATGATGTGTATGGATATTTCTATGTTAAGTGGAATCACTTGATTTTATACGTGTTGATGGTACTCAATTGGTAAATAGATCGCGTACTCGTAAGAAAGTTTCCCGGTTCTGTAGAAACCGATACAGTCGCGGAGACAGTACATAGAGGACGACTACTAAGCTGTATTTGTTGTTCATACTTTTTTATTTTTCATATTTGATGAGTGAAAATTGCTTCTATATGCTTAAAAATGATGCACGCATCCGACTAAATAATCCACAATAGATTTTTCACATGCCTTAAAGCTTCACTGCTCGTGCTATCTTACGTCTTTGTCATCTATGATCAAGTTAATAAAATTAAACATACAATTGATTGATTATTTAATTGATGTAGTAAAAAAGTTTGACAGTGAAAAATTTTACACTTAGAGAATAATTAATAGAATAAATTTGAAAAAATATCATAATTATAAATATAATTTTTAACACTTATATTTTCTCTTTGATAATTTCCAAGATAAATTATGAAGGGATCTAAGATCAAATCCCAGCAATGACTACATAAGGTTACTCAATAATTCGTAATATTATGCCATTGCATAAACCTTCATTTATATTAATATTTCTTATGAGCAGGACAATATAGTATTTTTTTGTAATAAGATATAAATAATATATATGGAGTTAGACAGGGAGGATTTAAAGTATTTAAATATTATTTTATCCACGTAATCACCATTAGTACAATTTTCAATGTTGTTAATATCAGTATATCTACATTTTGTAATTAGATAAAGTAAATTGGTAACTTATTTATTAATTTCATCTACAATACTTTTCCGTTACAAAATAGCACTTTTACTAATTTCTCTAAATTATTTTTCGATTATCAGTTTACCAAATACACTGATCACTCAATTACGGCTTTTTCCAAGTATACATGTTTCTGGAAGGTACAAATTATCATCTTTATTATTGAAGATTCCATTACCCACATCTAACAAGAGTTGCATATTCAATTTTATTTAATAGAACTCTTATATTTTGTGTAAGAGTATTTATTGAAATGCTTCCACTTTTCACTATACTCAAATAAAAAATTTAATACTTATACTTATTATACCTAATAAAATATTTAAAGTTGCCTATAATCTTCTTTTAAAATCATGATTTAACCATCGTAAGTAAAATCAATATTCATATCTTGTAATGTTCTATTAACTATTCTATGGAATGTCTTGGCACTATTGCAGTTTTATTCCAAATAAAAACAAAAGTTTTTTTAATTTTCTTTCATATATTTGAGTTTGAAACTTGAATAAAACTCGTGAAACCGTAGAAATGGTAAACCAAATGTTTTGTGCACTATTTTTCCATTAGATGACAAAGTTGCAACAATTCTAGTAAAGACCACTGAACAGACTTCTATATATTTCATCGACAAATTATATACTGTTATATCTATAAAAGTTCTTCCAGATCCTCCCAGACTATTAATATATTTACACTTATGTTGCTGATGAGAATCGGAATCATTTTTACGTGGAAGATAATCTATAATTTCTTTTTGCTGATTATATCATTGTTCGTATTGCTGCTCGCCGTTTTCTCCTACTTATACTATATTATTCTCTTCAAGTGAAACGACATAAATATCTATCTGAATGTTTCATTCTGAGGAAATTCGCTAAACTTCTACTTTTATTTATTAATAAAATATTTATATTAAAATATACCCTTTTATATGGTTCTTTCGTGAAAATCTTCTGACATAGCATACATATTTAAATTCATTACATAATTCTTCTGGATGCAACGGATGATAGTGTACAAGAAAACGAACAAATATCCGACATAGCTATTGCGGCATCTTTCACACTTTCACTTGTTTCATTACACGTTTCCTTTTGTTATCATTTTCTATGAGTCCTGCAGCTAAAAATACAGTAGAAAATGAAGATAGAAGAGTAGCATCTACTCATTTTAAAGAATCGAAACTTGTCACTCTTTTACTTATAACAATAACTACTATACGTGAAATAGTTCAAATTTAGTCGGTCTAAATAATATATCCTCCCGAAAACGTTGAATTGTTCTTTTTTTAAGGTACCGATTGTGTAGTTTTTGTTACATTATTTTTCATATAAGTATAGTGACACGAGGTATCCTTATATAATATTCTCTAGCATTTGTATTTTGGAATGTGACGGAGAATCTCGGCTAGGCCGATCTCGTCCGTTTGGCTCTCGCAAATGTCCGTGCGCCGCGCCAGGCTGAGAGTGTGTACGTTTGGCACACACACTCATGCTTGGACCTTTTGTTTGCGAGGTGCTGAACACGGGCTGAGCTAACGACTGGAGCGATGCAGATGGCGCAGAAGAAGAGAGAAAGAGAGAGAGAGCGCGCTCGAATTGCGGATCGCAGCGGAAAATTCGGAGAGTCTCTGCTAAGCGATAAGCAGAGGAAGTCGCGCGCGCGGATAAAACCGACGGCTACGGTTTTTCAAAGTTGGCCTCGTGACCTCGTCGACGATCGTTCGTTTTGGAGACACGCCCGGTGCGCGGACGAGCATTGGAGCGTGAGGCTGGGTCGCGCCCAGCCGTGCCCCGAAGTATACCCGGCACCGGTGCGTGTGAGTTACCGGTGAGGTGCGCGGGTGCGCGAGCGAGTAGTCAGGACGTGCTGTAGTCCAGAACGATAAAGAGGCGGCGAAGACAACAGCAACAACAATCAACGAGCGAGTTGCGGGTGAGGCAGCAGTATTGGGGAGCGAACGAGAGGACGAGAAGGAGGAAGATAGCGACGACAAAGGAAAATACCAGCGAGACGGTCAGCGAGGAGCACACCAGTGACGTCACGGTGCAGAGCGCTCCAGCCGTCGGAGAGGCTGAAGGTCGAGGTCGGTGCCGTATTTTTCTCTTGTCTCTCTCTCTTGCATGTTTGGACGTCAGTCTATGGCTGGTAGCACAGCAGACCTGCTGGCTACCCGTTGATAGTCTATCAGCGAAAAGTGTTTGTCGGGCGTTTGTTATAATATTTAGTTTTTATAAGGGAATCGACAGGCTGACCAGCCACTGATTCACCTTCGCGTTCGCGTTTGTTATTGTGCCGCTCGTAGTGTGTAACTCCGAGGTTGCCGTATTGTAATCGTTTGTTGACAATTAAAAGATTAGCGTATTAATCCGCTGTTGTGTTTATTCGCCGCTGTATCACTCCTCATCCCGACTTCGAATCTGTGCGTTTAACGTGTTTATGCTCGACGCGTTATTCAGTCGTGGGAACGTCTTTTGCTTCCCGAATCCCCGAATAAATAATTTGTGCGGACGGTCGCGAGCAACCCAGACGGGTACGGCCGGAATTCTCCGTTACAGGAAATATAATTTAAAGTAATCTAATAGCATACTGCTTGATTGATACAAATAAATTTCAATATCATCCACATCTTCAAGAATCACAATGTTTTATTTATGAGATAAATGTATGGAAAATTTCATGATAAAATGACTTACCATTGCAATGGTTTATTTGATATTTGGTAAGCAGCTTCTTTAGGGTCAATATATGGAGCTATTACGAAATTTATACTTTCAACATGATCAATAATTCTTTCTTTATTTTGTTCAGATGTATGGAATTCTGCGCTTTATAAATATATTTATATATGTACGAGGTCTGTCCGGTAAGTACAAGGCCAACCTTTATATTTCCATGCTGGCGTTATTCTTCATCATCGGACAAGTGGTATCCTTCAAATTAATCTACTTTTTGAAACAGTTCTAAAATTTACTTTTAGGGATGGCCTTCAGTACGCTCATTACTGATCATAGTTTTCATCGCTTATCAGGCCGAAGCAAGCTATTGAACTTCAGTAGCTGATGTCTACAGATTAGGGAGTTTGGGGTGTCACTGAATCTGAATTTGTGATCAGGTTTTTAAAATTCAAGATGACGATCTAAAGATGAATGCATTTTTGCTATCGAGTGGACAATAAAGTACTCACATTTTGAATCTCTCTAACTTTTTATCTAAAAGACGCACATTAAAAAATAAAACACATTTAGTTAAAGTTTCTTAAAGAGCAACGAAAAAAAATTACATTCGGTTATCGAAAAAGTTATTTTTTTACTTCGACTAAAACCGGGTTTTTTTAAATATTAAAAGATAAAGTTTCCTTTACATTTAAACTGATTTTTTCACCATGAGACTAGGCAGATTTTTTGAAAACGACTTATTTTTATAATGGCATTAAGAAAAAAAAATTATATGGCAGTTTTTTTTTAAAATTAACCAAAAATTAAAATATTCCATTTTTTCGCATAAGTTATATACATAGTACAGAAAAATAGTTCAGTCAACAGTTGCTCAATACGAAGGGGGCCATATTTTGGTGACGTTAAATTTTATCTTGAACATGATAGGTCAAGGTCATTCCAAGGTCAATGTTTTTTTTAAATAGGAAACCTTACTTTTATCTCGGATTCGGATTCTGCATTAAATTCTACTTTTAAATCATGTAATATGTGTGGGGTCCAAATGACCTCTACTCCACCCCCCAAAGATATTTCAAGGCTAACCTTACTTTTTGAATGAGAATCCTCATCTATCGTCGCAGGTTTCAATTCTACGTGAAATTGTACGTGCAGATGATGGGGTATTTATAGGGTCCAAATGATTCCCACCCCACCCCCATAGTATTTTCAAGGTCAACCTTACTTTTTTTAATGGAAATTCCTATTTCTCACACC